CTTCCAACTGACATCTCTGAAGGGGACTTGATTGATGGCAACAAGAAGAAGGGCTTTCACGGTGACAGCCTCTCGGTTATGGAGCAAGATTCCCACTGAATCTCAACTGGCTCCAACCTCAGCATTCTTTCAGTGCCAGTTTAAGACTGTCCTTCATGATAGGGTACTCAATTAGTTTTACCTTATATTGGAGCATTATTTCAAATATTTTACAGATCTTCTGATTAAATTTGTGCAAGCTATTGTAGTTTTTTTTAAATATTGGTTTAAATTTTATTTTTAAATTTAATATTATATATTTATTATGGTTTATTGCTATTCTGTATTGTAAACTTCTCAGAAGGCTTCAGCTATTGGGTTGTATAAAAATATCATTAGTGATAATAATAATTCCAGAGAAAAGTCTAGAGAACCTTGGTTGATAAGCATATGAAGTTGAATTCAGCTCCTCACTCTTTCAAGCTATATCAAAGTATAGCTTTTACTGTTTGTGGTAGTGGAAATAGCATTCCAAGGCCTCAGAGGCTAGACTAATCTAATTTCATTTTTTGACTGCATAACCTCCCAAATGGACTGTGGGAATGCTGTGGACAAAGTGCCCTATGACATCCTGATAAACAAACTAGCAAAAAGTGGCCTCGATAGAACTACTTTTAGAGGGATCACAACTGGATACAAAATTAGTCACAGAGATGTTCATCAGTGGCAAATTCTCAAATTGGGGAGAGGTGACAAGTGGGGTGCCACAGGGACCAGTACTCTTCAACATTTTTATTAATGATTTAGATGAGGCAGTACAAGGAAAGATAATTAAGTTTGCAGATGACAAAAAGCTGGGTGGAATATCAAATATACTGGAAGACAGAGGTAAGATACATGGTGATCTCAATAGGTTAGTACATAGGACAGAGAGAAACAAAATGAAATTCAGTAGGGACAAATGCCAAGTCCTCCACTTAGGAACAAGAAACCAAATGCACTGCTACAAGATGAGGAACACTTGAGGTTGTTGTAGATCACAAGCTAAATATGAACTGACAATGAGATGTAACTGCAAAAGGGGCAAGCACTATTTTGGACTGCATTAACAGAACCATCACTTCCAAAATACATGAAGTACTGGTTCCACTATACTCAACAGTAGTCAGACCTCACCTGTCATGCCATGTCCAGTTCTGGGCACATAACCTTTAAAAAGATGCAGAAAGGCTAGAAAGGGTTCAGAAGAGGGCAACAAGAATGATTCAGGGACTGAAGGCAAAACCCTATGAGGAAAGATTGAGAGAACCGGGCATGTTCAGCCTTGAGAAGAGAAGACTGCGTGGGGGGGGGGGGGCGGCATGCTATCCCTCTATAAGTACCTGAAAGGATGTCACAAAGAGGAAGGTCAACATTTCTTCTTGCTGATACCAGAGTGTAGGACATGGAATAATCGATTCAAATTGCAACAAGCCAGATTCAGGCTAGATATCAGGAAAAGTTTCCTCGCTATTAGAGGTTCCAATATTACAGTGGAACCAGTTGCCTCCAGAGGTCATAGGCTGTCCCACACTGGAGACATTCAGAAAGAAACTGGATATCCATCTGAGTAAGATGGTGTAAATTGGTGTCCTGCAATAGCAGGGGGTTGGACCCGATGGCCTTCATGGTCCCTTCCAATTCTACTGTGTTATGATTCTATGAAAACTGTAGTGATAATCCAATCCTCATTTACAAGTTGACCAAACTAGCAACAAAATTGTATAGATTGTTTTGGTATTTAGAGTGGTGATTCAATATGGTCATTTCTGTAGCCATGGCAAAAACTCTTCTCTACTCTACTGAACAATTCTTCACACTTTCTTATTCTTTGTGTGCCACCAACTTTATTTCTCTGTTTAAAATATCCTTCCTTTTCAAAACAGTGCAAGGTGCCTTTAGTCACTTTAATTAAACTTAAAGCAACACATGGTGTGATGTAATATAATACCAAAGCATCAAAGAGTATAATAGTAGTAGCAGCCACTATAAATTAAAGACTCCAACTGACCTATACAGAACAAAGCAAAGAGCTCAGATTGGTATATCTGTCTGGGAGATGGCAGACCCAACCCTGCTTCATCATGGTGTCACCAGGTCAAAAGTGGCAGGGCACAGGCTTTAAATGCATTTCTAGCATCCTCAACCAAACAAGCACAGGTTGTACAGACGGAAAAAACCTCTGCCTCATAGAATCATAGAATAGTAGAGATGGAAAGGGTCAGAAGGCCATCAGGTCCAGCTGATTAATGCTATTGCAGTGCTATTAGTGCTTAGTGCTTAGTGCTATTGCAGGACACTAAGTTACACCATCCCACTCAGTTGACTGTCCAGACACCTTTTGAATGCCCATAGCAAGGGAGAGCCCACAACTTCCCCAGGTAATAGGTTCCATTGTTATACTGCTCTGACAGTGGGAAATTCTTCTTGGTGTCTGGTTTAAATCTGGTTTCCTTTAGCTTAAGTCTGTTATTCCATGTCCTGCATTCTGGAATGAACAAAAAGAGATCTTGTCCTTCCTCTTTGTGACAGCCTTTCAGGTACTTGTAGAGTGCTATCGTATCACCCCTCAGTCTTCTCTTCTTAAAGCTGAACATGCCCAGTTTTCTCATATTTTGCATACGTTTTCTCTGAGGGATAGGCAGAACCTTGACAACAACAACAACACCACATTCTATTTCTTAATAGCATTTTCCTGAAGAGAAAATTTATTAATAGGCTTGGCAGATGGCACCATCACTACCTCATTTTGAATTTTACAGGGGGCCCAGGCAAAACTGTCATCTACTGATAGATTTCTTGTTGCTTTCACACATCTTCCAATGGAATAGCTGCACAACACCTTAGACTGTTAGCTGTGGGTGCTCTCTCTCTGAAACTACCCTGGGATCCATGCTGTGCAGACCAGGGTAAGGAGCAGACAATTGCAGTTTAAATTTTATTTATTTATTTATTTATTTATTTATTTGGACAGCTTTTATGCTGCCCCGTTCGCATAAGCCTTGGGGCAGCTTCCAATACATAAATAAATATATTTCATACAAAATACATAAAATACTGGAGACATCCTGGCCACAGATCTAAAATCAATAAATAAAATCAACAATTAAAATAGTGTTTAAATAAAAAGGTCTTGGCCTGGCGCCGAAAAACAAATAACGACGGTGCCAGGTGGACCTCTCTGGGGAGCGCATTCCATAAGTTGGGCACCACCGCAGAGAAAGCCCTCCTCCGGGTACTCACCCTCCTAATATCTTTCATGGAGGACTCCCGGAGAAGGGCCTCTGCTGCCGATCTCAAAGGGGCGGGAGGGCACATATGGACGCAGGCTCTCCTTTAGGTAAACAGGTCCCAAGCCGTTAAGGGCTTTGTAGGTGATAACCAGCACCTTGAATTGGGCCCAGATTTTGATGGGAAGTCAGTGAAGCTGACAGAGGACTGGAGTCATGTGAGCACAACACCCAGTCCCCATCAGCAACGTGGCAGCTCTATTTTGCACCATCTGAAGTATCTGGACCATCTTCAAGGGCAGCCCCACATAGAACACATTACAGAAGTCTAATCGGGAAGTAACCAATGTGTGTGTAACTGTCGCCAGGCAATTGTTCTCCAGGTAGGGATGCAGCTGATGGATAAGCTGAAGCTGGAAGAAAGCACTCCTCGCCACTGCTGTTACTTGAGCTTCCAACGATAGCTCTGGGTTGAGCAGCACTCCCAAGCTGCGGACCCTGTCCTTAAGAGGGAGTGCTACCCCGTTCAGGACAAGGTCAAGGTCCCCCACCCCGAAGCCCGAACCGCCTACCAACAGGACCTCTGTCTTGTCTGGATTAAACTTCATTTTATTGGCCTTCATCCAGCCCATTACCTCGGCCAGGCACTGGTTCAATACAGCCCCTGCCTCACCTGGATTGGTTGAAAACGAGAGGTAGAGCTGGGTATCATCAGCGTACTGATGATTCCGCAGTCCACACCTCCTGATGACCTCTCCCAGTGGTTTCATGTAGATGTTAAATAGCAGGGGGAACAAAATGGATCCCTGTGGAACTCCATGGCATAACTGCCATGGCACAGAGCCATAGTCCCCCAGCACCACCTTCTGGAATCGGCCATTGAGATAGGAGGGGAACCACTGCAAAGCAGTGCCTCCTACCCCCAATCCCACTAGCCTATCCAGAAGGATACCATCGTTGATGGTACCGAAAGCCGCTGAGAGGTCCAGGAGGACCAACAGGGATGCACTCCCCCTGTCTTTCTTCCTGCACAGGTCATCATACAGGGCAACCAAGACAGATTCAGTACCGTACCCGGGTCTGAAGCCGGACTGAAATGGGTCCAGATAATCAGTCTCATCCAAGAGTGCTTGGAGTTGTCCCGCCACCACCCGCTCTAACACCTTGCCCAGAAACGGGATGTTGGCCACTGGTCTATAATTAGTGGCCATCTCTGGATCCAGTGACGCTTTCTTCAGGACCGGTCGGACTACCGCCTCCTTTAAAGGGGCAGGCACCCGCCCTCCCTCAGCGAAGCGTTAACCACTTCCAAGATCCAGATCCCAATCCCGTGCTTGGAATTATTTATTAACCAAGACAGGCAAGGGTCCAATAGGCAAGTGGTGGGACGTACTTGTCCAAGCACCTTGTCCACATCATCAGGCCTCAATAACTGAAACTCATCCATCAATTTAGGACCAGACAGCTACATTAACATCTCCCCTGAAGGCTCTGAGTCACTATTGGAGTCCAGCTCGTGATGAATCTGAGCGATTTTCTCCTTAAAATGCTTGGCAAAGTCGTCACAGCGGGCCGTCGTGGGCGGTACAGGGTCTTTCTTAGGGCCTGGATGAACCAGCCCTTCTACCACCTGAAAGAGTTCCGCCAGATGGCATTGTGAGGAGGCAATGGAAGTGGAGAAGAATTTCTTTTTCACCGCCCTCACCGCTACAGCATAGGCTTGATAATGAGCTCTCAAGTGTGTTCGGTTAGATTCATCCCGTGATTTCCTACACTCTAAACGTCTCCCAACCCGCTTCATCGCCCATAATTCAGGTGTGTACCAGGGGGATGAATGGGCTCTGCCCAGTGAGAGAGGATGCTTAGGAGCGATCGTGTCATTCCATAATTGGCGCGATCGTGCCATTCAATGTGTCAATGGCGCGATCGTGCCATTCCATAATTCGACCAGAGTATCGACAGGAGCACCAGCCTTGTCAACCGGAAATTCCCCCAGGGCCTTCAGGAATCCTTCGGGATCCATCCGGCTCCAGGGGCGGACCAATACAATTGGGTCCACACCCTTACAGAGGGAAAGGCCGCTCTCGAGCTCAAACCTCACAAGGAAGTGATCTGACCATGACAGGGGAGTCAAACATAAATTCCTCACCCTCAGATCACCCTCTTCCTGCCCTGTCGAGAAAACCAGGTCCAGAGTGTGTCCACATTCATGGGTTGGCCAATGACATGTTGAGACAGCCCCATGGTCACCATGGAGGCCATGAAGTCCTGAGCCACCCCGGTCAGAACAGTCTCAGCATGGAGATTGAAGTCCCCCAGGACCAGCGTCCTGGGAGTCTTCAACACCAGGTCTGAGATGATCTCTTTCAGCTCAGGTGGGAGTCTGGGGATTCTGTTGGTGTACCATGCACCCAACAATCTGTCTCGGTCACCCAACACCAAGTAGAGGCACTCTAGACCCGGCCTCGAGAGGACAGGAAGCCCCGCGAGGGAAATGGAAGCTCAGTAAACTAAAGCAACCCCCCCTTCCCTCCACTCTGGGTGTGGTCAGTGCCGGACCAGGTACTAGGGCAGGCACAGTTGGGAGAGGGAGACATCCCCCCCTCCTGCTCAGGTCTCTGTTATGCAAGCCAGGTCAGCCCCCTCATCCACAATCCAGTCGTGGATGAGGGATGATTTATTATGGACTGACTGGCATTAAGGAACAGCACCAACAGGCCCGGGGGGCGGTTGACAAGCCTACCTGGAACCCTCTGGCTGGGGGAATAACCAGAAGGGGGAACAGGTGTCAACCATCTGTCCCTCCTTCTTCTATGCAGACTCGTTAGATCCCCAACACCATAACGTCCATTGCCCAAGACCACCGCAATGGCAGCACTCATGCGCTCCCCAGGCAACCTTGCAGTCGTCATGGCCAGGAATGAATCCATTAAAATTAAGTTAAAATACAATAAAACCTTTAAAACTCCTTAAAAAACTCCCCATCGACCACCCAATACAGAATCCCACCCAACCAATAGGGTCCCTGGCCAGTCCAGCCCCCACATGGCCCCGAGCGGTCCCAAATGGCAACAACTGCCCTTTGGCCATTGCCCTTCGGCCGCCGGCCTGAGGCTGCCGGCCCTGGCCACATCCGGTGAGTTATGCTGGCGGCTCGTCCCCACACCTGCCCCCCAATCTGGTGTGGCTCTCACCCACGCCGGCAGGCAGGGGAGCAAGGGCAGCCACGTGGAACTTGCCGGCTGGCAAGATGGCATCCTCTGGCGGCAGCGTCGTCGGCCCCGGCGTCCTCTGACCCCAGGTAGGTCCAGCGATGGCCACGGACAGTGGCGTCAGCTGTCCTCCGGGTCCAGCGGAGTGCCTCACAGCCTTCCTCGGTGGCACAGCAGTGGAGGCAGATGGTCGAAGGGAGGGGAGGGGGCCCAGTTCTGGCTCCAGCCCGGCCGCGTCCGGCAAGTTATGCCGGAGGCTTGTCCCCACGCCCCACCCCCCAATCTGGTGTGGCTCTCACCCACGCCGGCGGGCAGGGGAGCAAGGGCGACCACGCGGAGAAGACTGCTGGGAATTCAGCTGGAGTTCCTAAATCAGGGGATATCATTGGAGTAGGGATGGTGACTATAATAGCTGCTTTCTTGGAAACTTGGAGGAACCTTTCCATATTCCAGTGGTGGGTGGGAATGTGCACGGCCAAAATACAAAAGCAGCATTCTCCTTTGGCTTATTAGTTACCCCAGCATCTTAACTGCCTATAACTTAATAAAGGCATCTCAAACTTTTCTGCAATGGTGGGAGAAGTGCACAGATGCCAGGAAAGCAGCTAATGATAGACAGTTGGAGAAAGAGGGTGGATTCTGAGAAATGGTTCACAGTCTTCTGGAGATCCCTGGAAGGTCAATCATAGTCCCCAGGCCTAGACCTATAGAATTCTGGAGGTAGGAAAACTATGGAGTGTCAATGGTGTCACCTGGAAAAAGAAGAAAAGCAGGCAGGTAGATCACTGGTCTATCTCAGTCTTTGGCAGCTTATGATATCCTCAAGAAAGTGCTCAGATTAGAGGGATGGGTCCCCTGAAATATTTAACTGTTCCCATTCCCAAAGCTTTCTTTCCCAGGCTATATGGGAATGTGTGTGTGCATGCTCATGTATGTGAGATGAAAAGGAAGTTTACAAGAGGTGAGCAGAACATTCTGGAAGGCATTCATTCACAGGGTTGCCATAAGGTGGAGATGACTTGACAGCATATAGCAACAACAATGGAAAGAAAAAATGACATCTCCCTTTCCATTGTCGTTGCACACAGGAGGCTCTTAGCACTACAAATCAAAAGGCATTGTACATTTATTCTGTCCTATTCCTAAGAGGCTTTTTTGGGTGGGGGAGGCAAGATAAGAAGGAAAATAGAAGCTGTGGTGGGAAAATGCAGGGGGATTACAAACAGAAGACAAAAACATTTGGACATATGAAAAATTTAGTGTTTGATGTAGGATGACTGCAGGATAAAGACTTTGCCAAGAATAACTTCTCCCTTTCTTTGAATATGGAAGGTTTTGGGACTGCATCCTGCTCCGGATCATTTACTGCTGTGTAAAGGTTTCAGGAGAGTGGGAGAAAAAGGTGTACCCCTTGCTCAAGAAGGTTTCCTCCTACTTTGTGAAACCTGAATAGAACTACAAGCCTTCTGGAGTCTGGAGAGGAACACTGCTAGGAGAGTTAGGAACACATCATGACATTTTGTTGTAGGTATGGAAAGAAATTTGGTTTGGAGAGAAGTTTGTCAACAAAGTGAATGCAACTCTTCTTATTGAATGCAGGTGGATCCTGAACCATATGTGGATATCTGCATCTATGATACCTGTAGCTGTGAATCCATCGGGGACTGTGCCTGCTTCTGTGATGCCATAGCCAGTTATGCTCATGCTTGTGCACAGAAAGGAGCAGTAGTTCATTGGAGGTCACCTGCTTTATGCTGTAAGTGAGACTTCTCCCAGCCTGGCCTTTAATTGACCAAAGCTAGCCCTCATGAAGTCCCATCTCCAGTACTTGACCTACTGCTCATCCCTGTTTTCCTGATCTTGAAACAGAGGATGGAGTGGTCACTTTCATCCAGAGCTTTCCTGCTCTGCACATCATCCACCAGTTCTTCCCTGTTGGTCAAAACCAAGTCTAGGATGTCTTTCCTTCCTTGTTACTCCCAGGGTCTCAACATACTCCACTATCAGTTCCCTGCCCTGTCTGGACCTGTCAATCTTACACAGACTGTCTCTACCAGATCCCCTTTAGCCTGTCCCCATCTCATTGCATCCTATCTCTTCCTTGACATATAGCGCTACACCCTATTCCCTCTTTCCCTTCCTGTCCTTCCTAAACAGAGCATACCCCTCTGTCTTGACATTGCAATCCTGCTTTTCATCCCACCATGTTTTTGTGATCATCCCCCCTCACGTCATATTTGTTTCTTCCCAGGTGAGCTTCAAGTTCTTCTTGCTTCTTTCCCATGCTCCTAATGTTGGTGTACATACATTTCAGCTCTTTCCTACAAACTTCATTCCCTAGCTTCCCCAGCCTCCTTCTTCCTCCCATCCTCCCTGGCACAGCAGGAACCATTTTTGCACTATCCATGCCAGCCCCTGTAGTCCCTGCAGCACCCTGCATCTGAGACCCTGATCTTGTTCCTTCACCTTACTGATCTTGACTGGTTTCTGGGGGTCCTGGTCTCCCTCGATCAGATTAATGGCCTCTGGAGTAAGTTTGCTAGAGCATTTCTAATGGTCCTTTTCCCATCCTGGTGAGTTGCACCCTATCCCTTGCCAGAACTCCCTCAGTGAGGAACCAGTTGCCAGGTTTGAGGAACTCAATGCATTCCTTCTGACATCATGCCCTCAGCAAGTCATTTGTCTCCACAACACTCCTCTCCCTGGTTGGTCCATGTCCATGCACTAGCAAGAGTGAGGAAAAGGCCACCTGAAACTTCAGGTCCTTGTGGCTCTTGTCCATGGCCTTGAAGTCCTGAGTGGCCCCACCCAGTCCCTGCTTGGCTGTGTTGTCTGTCTACTCATAGCCTACTCATCAAGTAGAAATCCTGCCTATCTTTCCCCCTGCTTCCTTCTTCTATTCTCTTCAACCTTCCTTCCTCGCTCATTTGAAGAGTATGATAACATTGACTCACAATCCATCTAGGGTTCACTCCCTAACTTTAAATGGAGGACAATGCCCAGAGGTTTCTGGTCATCAATAAAGGTCAAGGATGCTGTTGTCCAAACAAAGGTGGATCTCCATTCTGGAGGGCAATGGGTAGATTTGCACCCAGGTTTCCAAATGGGTAGTTTTGCACCCTGGTTCATCCTTCTCTGGATGAGCAAACATACCTCATTTAGGCCTGAACCTGACAGGGTTTTCTTGCCCCACCTCTTTAGTGCTCAGCCAGACAAAGCTAGTGTATGAGCAGTCAATGTCCTCCAATGTCTGACTGTCTCGTGCTTGTCTTCATTTGTTTCTCTCTGCTGCACCACTCTGCAGCTCTCCCTGGTGGGGATGCTGCCATCTAAGGCTCCACTCCACATTGGTGGCTTTTCTGGAACTTCCCAGGAATTTCCCAACATACTCTTAGGCAGTTTGATCTTATGCTAAGCTACATTACAGTTATTAAAGAATGGTAAAAAGATGGGTGAAACTCAAATACTTTGGCCACTTAATGACAAGAAAGGACTCATTGCTGTCAACGATTGGAGGTAAAAGGAGAAGGGGGCGGCAGAGGTTGAGATGGCTGGATGGGGTCACTGGAAAAATGGCTGTGGGGTTCAGTGTACTCTGGGGGATGGTGGAGGACAGGAGAACCTGGAGGAATTTTGTCCATGGGGTTGCGAACAGTCATAACTTTGTGACTGTAGAACAACAAAAAAGGTGGGTACTGATGCATACTTATGGGCACAGTGCAATTCTGTAATTGCTCACATATACAGACATGCAGAATCTACTTTGCTACATCCAGTGCAAACAGGTGTGCTGGTGTACAGTGTAGTACTGAGTGAAGTTCCTGGTATAAGTTTTATTTCTGCCATGAACTTCATAGGTAGCTTTAACAAGTCACTCCCTCTCCCCACTTCCATTTGCCTGGAGGAATGTTGTCCATGGGGTCATGAAGGGTCAGACACGACTTAGCAACTAAACAACTTATATAACAGGATTGGTTTAAATGTTTCAATAAGAAAATGTATGGGAAGTATTTTGAATACTCAAAATTTCTGAACAAATTAGTGTCAATATCATATGGCATGCTTCTTAATTTTTTCATAGCGCAAAGCTGTGAGCACATGAACAAAGATGAAGAAGGACATCGGTGTGAATGGAGATACAACATTTGTGGCCCTGCCTGTCCAAAGACATGCCAGCACTTGGATCCAGTGGTCTGCCCTGTGAAGTGTGTTGAAGGATGCCATGCACACTGTCCTGAAGGTCAGCATGTCTGCTTTGGCACAAACTTATTAGGAAGAACTCTCTTAGCTTTCACCATTAAAACAGATAATTTTGTTGCCATCATTTTTTTAAGTGTGGATGGACAACTTGTGGGCTTGTTCCATTCCCTTCTGCCTTCTGGGTGCTCGAAGAAGGCTCTGATTTAAGTCCTCTTCAATCATTTTCTTGAATACACAAGGGTTTAAGATGGGCTTGTGCATGCTGTCCCCACCTGTTGTACCACAAAGCCTGAGCAGTGGTTGCATGTGCATTCATCTGAATACAAGTAGAATTCTTTGCACAAATGTGGACCCTGCTTTATCACAGTTCCTATAATGTAGAGAGTTCTATTCAAACTGAACGTGAATACAACTCCCTTTCATATTTGTCCTCAGATTTAGTCTGCAGTAATAATTTTTCCTGCACAGCAAGAATATATTCGAGTACCTTTCTCTTTCTGTTGAGCAGGAGCTGAAGAAGAGAGACAGATCCTGCTGAGGTGGAGAACCAAGGAGGAACAAGAGAGAAAGGCATGGGGGTGGGGATTTAAAAACCAAGTGGCTGACTTCTGCTTGGCTCTCCAGTTGAAGACAGGGGGCATGGTATGATTAGTGGCAGAGACTAGAGACTAGTTTACTGGCTCAAGAAGGAAAATGCCAGCAGAGTTTTGTTGTGCTTTTAAAGACCAAAGTAGCACAGCAGCTGGTAATGGTGGTGACAATAATGAATGACAGCTGTTCATACTGTGCAGGCCCCAGGAAGGTTGCCCCATGATTCTGCTATGCTTTCCCAGACTTGATAAATAGAGCTTACTTTTGTCTTTTCTGTAGTAGAGATGGTAGCACACTATACTCATAGACTCAAACATATGATGTGTTTTGTCAGTGAGCTCCCAAAACTAAAAGAGGCAGGCATCCTTCTTGCAACAGCAGAAGAAATCAGTTAATATTGTCTTTCAGCTTCTCCCACTGCCTCTTCCATCAGGCCTCAGGAACAAGACCATGCTTTGTCACCTGCCCCACCCATCTCAGGACTGAAGTTGTATGACTTCATGAAAGATGGGATCAATATTGCATGGGACCTCCCTGCTCTACTGGGCACTGAGTGCATAGCAAACATGGTGGCTTTATATTTCATAACATACTTTGGAAAGGTGGTCTGGCATACAATTTGGGAATCACTGTTCTATATATACTTGGTTGTTTTGGCAGTTGGGAAAAGATATGGTAGCACTTTGCATCCAGATTTAGCCTTAAGCTCGTAAATCCTATTCTAGACTCTAGTTTCTTTGTGTAGGGATTGTGCTCAGTTCTCCCAAGATACAGCATTTCAAGGTCAATATTTCAGGCCATGAATCTGACCTGGAAGAAAAAGTGAGGTTACCTGCTTTGAGATAAGCCACGCAGCTGGTTTGAACCTCCCTGAAGATGGGACCACCCTGTGTGAACCTCCTTGAGGATGGAGCCAGCTTTGTTTGGAGTAGAAAAGAGGCAGGGAATACAATTTGGAATCAGTTCCTGGTATGGGCAATAGCTAACTCCATAGTTAGAGGGATCATTACAAAAAGATGGATGCTTTTTGTTAACAACTTTTATATTACTCTATATTACAAAGCCAGCACTGACTGGAGAGGCTAACTCAATAAAGGATTGTAGTTAGGAGCCTCTCACCTTGATCTGCTGGGAAAGGAGAAGGGGTGAAACATGCCTACAACACTTTCCCACTTTGCTTGTTATTGCCCTTCTAATGATTTCACTTTAGAAGCTAAGAGGGATACACCAAATATCTCTCTTAGCTTCTAAAGTGAAATCATTGAATAGAACTCTCTACATTATAGGAACTGTGATAAAGCAGGGTCCACATTTGTGCAAAGAATTCTACTTGTATTCAGATGAATGCACATGCAACCACTGCTCAGGCTTTGTGGTACAACAGGTAGGGACAGCACCTTAAACCCTTGTGTATTCAAGAAAATGATTGAAGAGGACTTAAATAGTAGATCAATGCTGAAAAAGCTGATTGAAATATTGGTTGCACCATCAGTAATGCAGAGATCTAGGAATTATAGTAGCTAACAACTGGCTGGTATCCCCTTGAGAGGTACTGCCCATGGTGTGTGCTTTTTTGTTCAACAGTTGGGATAGTCTTGCAAGCCCATATTTTATCATGTTTTCAAGGAGAGGCAAAATGTGGAGAACTGTAGGATGCTGTTATGTTTCCATTTGCTATTAACATTCTAACATTGTTGTGAAACAGGGAAAATACTTGATGAGCTTTCTGAGTCTTGCGTTGATCTTGAAGAATGTCCAATTTGTGAAGTAAGTGGTCACAGGATTTCCCATGGGAAGAAGATAATTTTGAATGCTGAAAATCCACAACTCTGCCAATCCTGGTAAAATAGTAAACTTTTCTGAATATGAATGGGTGGGCATGGTAAGGAAGGGAAGAGAAGAATTTGCTGTTCCTTCTGTTTGATAATGCAAGTGTTGAGTTAGGATTCCAGCAAGGTTTTCTGAATTCATCTCAGGAGGGCTGACGCAGATGGAACATCAGTGCTTTGTTAGGGTGATTAACCAGGTCAGAGCCATACTTTCTGCTTACAGTGACCTTTCATGGAAGATCCCACCTGACTTTGCTTGCATGGCAGGTCAGAATAATGTCATAAATGACTTCAGTTAACAGGGTGCCAGCGTCTTCATCTAAATTGGTCCAAAACCTCAAGTTGCATGAACTGGCAAACAGTGTTGACATTTCTTTGTAGAATCCCCGTAGTTTTCCTTATCCTTTAGAAGCATAAAAAGGTAAAGGTAAAGGTTTCCCCATGACATGTCTGAATCTAGGGGGCAGTGCTCATCTCCATTTCTTAGCCGAGGGAGCCAGCGTTTGTCCACAGACAGTTTCCATGGCCATGTGGCCAGCATGACTAAGCACTGAAGTGCACGGAATGCTGTTACCTTCCCACCAAAGTGGTACCTTTTTATCTACCTGCATTTGCATGCTTTCAAGCTGCAAGGTTCAAAATGGCAGGAGCTGTGACGAAGCATGGGAGCTCACCCCTCTTGCGGATTCGAACTGTCGACCTTTAAATCAACCAGCCCAGCAGCTCAGCAGTTTAACCCACTGCGCCACTGCATTCCATTAGAATAAAATACATGCATAGAATTAGATATATACTATCTAATTCTATAGGACTGTTTTCATTATTAACTAACTGCACCGGTAGTCTGGAGGCAGCAAGTTGTCCATACCCAGAATGAGAAGCTAATCCAGTTATAAATGGACTGAAACCAGGTCCTAATGCAGTCAGAAAACAGGCAGATAATTATGTGAAATGGGTCAAGAGCACTGCTAGTTATCCAATCTGAAGTGATAAGCAGAGTTTGCAAATGAAGCTCAGTAGAGAAGCATTGGATCCATTTTTAACTCATATTGTCCCACTTGTAAGCCCCAACTTGAATGAGAGTAAAGTTTTCAGAGAAAGCTTACACATTCCCAAGCTTGTGTTCACAAATGAATACTTTAAAATAATGTGCATTTTCCAAAAATACAGATTTTTATGGTTTAATCTATGGGGGAAAGTACACATTTGGGTGCTAGTTTCAACAAGTCTATAGTAAAATATGCACTTTCTTGGTCTGAATGTTGATTGCTTTCAATTAGTTTTATATGTAAATGTTTTATATTGTATTTTTAAGGTTTTCATCTTTGTAAATAACTGAGAGACTGTTGGTTGTTGGATGATATAGAAAAGTAAGCCGCCTAGGAAGGCCTCAGCAATTATAGGCAGACTATAAATATATGTAAATAAATAGAAAAATAAAAGTAATCAAACAAACAATTAAATAAATGATTACAATTGAAAATGAGAACAAGGCAATCTGAGCTTTGAGTTGGAACTCAAGAATTCAGTTTGAACACCTCTGATTCCCTGTCAGTACTTATTGCCCTTTTGGTCACTTGCAGAGATGATGGTTGTTATACAACTTGTTGGCCATTGGCTGTAGGGGCACTATAGTGTAGAAGGGAAGCAAGCAGCTTGCTCTTCTGGTAAGCAGCTGCAGTGGCTAAGTGGGTAGGAAGAGTGGTCAGGGTTCTTTGTTCAAGATTCTGGTGTTCAGTTTTCAACAGGCCCAAATCTCATGGCCACTTTTGTTGGAAGAACAGATTAGTGATATTTATTGAAAAATAATTTAAGAAGAAGTCCCAATCCTGTTCATATGAAGATGCTCTTCATGAGGGTATGCTCTTAATAGATACAATTTTAATTATTCAGCAATACATTTCAAAAAGTTATTATCAGAACCACTTAGGGTAGATGCTACTGCTATTTAGGCTGCATTTCATGTAGGATTTGAGTTTTTAATATTAATAATTTTTTACTCTACAACAAACTTGTATGCATGTGTGTAAATCAATCTTTTAACATGGAAAAAAGATTTCAGAGGAAAGATTCAAAGCAGTTTAAGTAAAGCACCAAACAACCCCAAGTTAACCTCAAGTTAACCTCAGAATAAGCAGAGTACAGTGCTAACCAGCACCATGACGCCACACCATTTCAAGGAATATATAGCTTAAGAGAGAAATTGTCAGCCCATACTATAACTTTCCAAATGCCTGCTAATAATTTATTGTGCAAGCCAATAGGCTGTGAATATTGCTTCTATGCAATTGTGAAATGTTGCAAACTTTATAAATGTCTGCCTCATTAGGGATACATCACTGCATGTAGCCATCACCTAATTTAGATGCCTACACCATCTGTACAAACAATAGAAAAGCATTATTTGTATAACGAATATCCAAAGGAATTTGGAAGCTAAAAGTATGTCATACACCAAATATTACATCAGGATTAAAATAATAAATTATACTGGTCTTGTAACTCAACATATTATCCAAAAATTCTTAGTCACAATAAGGTTATGTTATGTCCAGTGATATAAGTGGATCATATACTCCCCCGCCCCCACACCCAGAATTTCCACAACCTAAGCTCAGTCATCCAATTCCTGTTCAGGATGGAACAAGGCAAATGCACATACAAAGCAAGGCAAAGGAAATCATAGCTAATATGAGGAGAGTCTTGACCTGAAAATCTTTAAATTGGTTTGAGCAGTTTTGACTTATTGCTGGGTTTAGGCAACACAATAACTCACATGCAAGGGCTAAGTAGGGGTTAAGTGTTGTTGTCATTGAACCATAAGTTGTTGTGGAAATTGAGTAATTGTGTGGTCTGAACCCAGTTGCGCTAACAAGCCATGGCATGTCAACCATGAACAATCTGTGAAGAGAACCCATTATTAGTTGGGTGGCATTGTTCTCCATGGGGTATTATTTGGGCTGGTTTCAGACATGATCAACCGCGTTTCAACAACAGTCCATGATTCCACAACAATCCATATTCAACCCTTGAGCACAGAAAACATCAGAGGCAGTATTAGACAGCATCCTGTTCGAACTGGAGCCCTGAATCTTTCATTTTGAGCCCTGAATCCCTGAGACATCCTCTGCAATATCATCCTGCTGTGCATGGACACTGTCTAAAATACAAGGACCCAATGATCTATGTTGCATCAGATCTCTTTGGACTAATTGGCTTTTCGCCCCCACATACTTCACCTCCTGCTACCTTCCCTTGAATCTTTCTGCCTAGATTTTTTTCTCAATTCAAATACCCACCTCCCCTGCCCATAAATCCCATTTTACCCTTTGAAGACAGGGTCCTTTAAAGACACACAGAGAGACTTCATAGAAAATGCAAATTAGCATATACAAATTTGTGCTTTCTATTTTTCTTTTTCATGTTGATCCCATGAGTACCTAGTACAGTCCCTACTTATCATGTTATCAAAACCCTGGCACTGAGATTAAGGGAGTTCCTTGCTGATGAGGCTGGCCTTCCTTGCACTCCCTCTTTTAGCTAGAGGAGGCAGTAGTACACAGGATGAATTGCAGTATTCCTTTGGTATCATCTGTAGGACACACTACAGACTTGGCCTGAGTCTGGACACTTGCTTTAAGAAAGGCAAAGTATTTTATAAGGTTTTGTTAGTGTTCATCTGAATATGCCCACTTTTACCCCAGTCATTTTGTTAAGTGAAGGGTGACACACAGGGGAGGGGGGAATTAGAAGATTTTGTCTATTTTCATTCTTCTTCTTCTTCTTTAGATGATTTTGACTTAGAAGAACAAAACTTCTGATACTTAGTTTTGTTCCTTTCTGTTTAACTCTGTCTTGACCAAACCCTACTGTAAAAACAAGTGGCAAACAAAAATGAAATCCCAAGGACTGATAGACAGAAGTAAAACATGATTGTTACTTGACAGACTAGTTAATGCAATTAGGTGAGAATAAAATATATAAGTTTGGTAGGTAGAGTGAGCAAATACCAGATTAGCCATGGAGAAAAGCCATCACTACCCAGTGTAACAGATAGAGGCATTAATGCAGTTTAGAAATTACCTGTAGGGCTAACACCATTATATTCAGATTATTAAAAGAACAACTATGTTTAACATTAAGATAAAATTTATATTCACATTCATTTTAATTGACTTTTTTATAAATTGTAGATATTTATTAACATTTGTATTAGTGAATGATTTATACTTGACCTGCCATGGCATGGCAGCATCCATGCTGTTTCCAGTAATTTTGGAAGGTATTGAAACTTGTGGGTGCAAGGTTAGCAGCTGCAGCAAAATAGCTGATCAGCAGGGTAGTATGGTCCTACACAGAGGGTAACCTCTCCACAGGCAACCTCTCACATGATTGGGTCCCTTTAAATATCACTAGCAGTTGTCACTGTGAGTTGGTTCATTTGCATTAAAGCAGCTCTTACCCTGTTTGCATTGTATGTACTGTCCTGGTGCTATCAGAATTGAGAACAAGCATTTGAATGCTGTTGGTACCAATACTGCTACTCTTGTCTCACTGGAATAATATTACCATCAGAATATTAAACAATCCTGCATTACTGTTTTAACTTGACCATGTCCAAGTGAGGTTCTATGTGTTTCAGCAGAATGACAGCAACACTTTTAAGGAGGAAATCACTTCCTCTACATTCTGTTCCTGCACAGAATTGTATGTAGTCACAAAAAGAAACAAACTCTTTGAAGAAGCTGAAAACAATGATGAAAAACATAAAGGTGATGATGTAACATTTGTATTCAGATACTTGTTTTGATGCATGTATGCATCTTTTAAGGAAATTTTAAGAAGGTGCCACCTTGCCTGATTTATACGAAACTATCTGTTTCATTGCCCAGCATTTCTGTACCAAAAAGCACAGTGAATGTGTAACTTGTCTCTGGAATAGATGTTTCTGTACTTGTAGTTAAGTCATAACACAGGCACTCATGTTAAAATCTAAATATAAATTGATTTTTAAAAGGTTAAATAGGAGCACCTTCAAGAAAGAACTGAGTTTCTGGAGAAAATAATCACATTAAGAGCCAGTGTGGCTAGTTGTTAAGAGTACTAGACTCAGGATATCCTGGTTCTGGTCCCCACTCTACCATGGAGCCCACTGGATGACTTTGGGCCAGTCAAAGACCCTTAGCCCAACCTACCTCACAGGGTTGTTGTTGGAAGATTAAGACTGAGAGGAGTCAGAGAATTATGTCAGCCTCCCTGAATTCTTTGAAAGGAAAAAAGACAGGCTACAAATATACTAAATAAAAAAAATGCACTCAACATAAAAGAAAAACTTAAAAACCTGAAAGAGCAGCACACAGCAACCCTGTTCCTTCTGTGGTTAAGCCCTGGTTATGAGTTCAGAAAAGCTACTAGTGAAGACAAGATTTAAATATTATATTATACTATACTATAAGATTATGAATAAATGAATAAATAAAACTATTTTTCCCAGTTAGCAATACTTTCTCTGTCTGGTTGCTTGGTAATGGAAGTAAATCATTTTTGCAGGCAAGTTGCTGTTTACAAACATGTTATGAACTATAGTAATTTTGAGAACTATTAAACTGTTAACAGTGTTTTTCTAACTGTATAACTTTTGATTTTTTTTTTCTTTTAGCCATTGTGAAGGACAAAATTTGACATGTCAAGCATGTGAGTTTGACAAAATCATGATAACCACAACTGTTTCTCCAGAAGATGAGGTGACACATGAATATTCTTGCAGCAAAATGATGGATCTTGCCATGTTGATGGATGGTTCCAGTAAACTTTCTGAGAATGATTTTGAGCAGTTGAAAGCATTCATAATTGGCATGATAGAAAAACTCCACATTTCTCAAAAACGAATTCGCCTGTCGATATTAGAATACCGCACTGGTTCACACATTTATCTTGGCCTCAAAGATATTAAAAAGCCATCACAAATGAGAAGCATTGTCCAAAATATAAAATACCCTGGTGGAGATGTTGCCTCTGCAACTGAAGTACTTAAATATGTTGTGTTCCATGTGTTTGGGAAGGCTCCACGGACTAATGCTGCCAGAATTGCTGTATTATTTACAGCTAGCAAGGATCCAAAGAGAATTCAAACTATCTTTCCACTTTTGAGAAAGAAGAAAATCACTGTAATACCAGTTGGACTTGGACCACACATAAGCACTGAACAAATTGAACTAATTGAAAATCAGTCACCTGAGAATAAGGCTTTCATAATGAACAGTGTGCTCCAGTTAAGAGAACATAGAGATGAAATAATTAATTACTTCTGTGGTCTTGTGCCTGAAGTAAGTGCTTTATTAAGTGCAACAAAAACCCCTACTGCAACTCTTCCAAGTATCCCTCCTGTATTAACAAAAGCATTCCCAACTGAACATTTTATTCACAAGACCATTGATATTATTTTTTTAATTGAAGGATCTGCCAAAATTGGCAAGGAAAATTTCAACTTGATCAAAGAATTTATTGCCCGCACAATCAGAGCAATGGATATAGGAAAAGAAACTATTCATGTTACAATTATACAGTACTCATTCACAACCACTGTGGAGTATTCCTTCAATGGCAACCAGTCAAAAGAAGTTCTGATTAAGAGGGTACAGGAAATTGAATATCATGGAGGGAATGCTACTAACACTGGAAAAGCTCTCAATTTTGTCTCTGAACATACATTTACCACAAGTAGTAGGGGAAGAGGGCAAGTGCCACATTTTGTGTACATGGTGACTGCAAACCCTGCCACAGATACTATCACTCGCCAACCTTCTGATATTAATGTTATTCCAATTGGCATAGCACCTAATGCAAATATTGAAGAACTCAATATTTTAAGCCAGCCACGTGCTCCAATCATCCTGAAAGGGTATAACAAACTCATCCAAGAAGGACCTGACTTGGTACTAAAAACCTGTTGCTTAAGGGAAGGTAATGTCTTTCTTTTTTACTTAGGGCTAGGGAAAGTGTACTTTAAAAATCTTGCTATATATGTCTTGAGAACACTTTTTTAAAAAAATACATGCATTTCTTCCAACCAAGACTGTGGAACTATCCTCCCTAAAATACCATAAGTTGTTGTTTGAGACATACAGAATTCAAGGTGATATGACAGTACCATTATCATACTGTTTGTTTCTGTTCTACTGTTGCTTCTCATTAAACAGGCTTATTTATTTGGATGCCTTTTTATATTTCTTTCAAAAATTTACAAACCTGTTTGCACAGGTCTATGTAATTTACAAACCAGATCAGAGGAAATACCTTTCTGAAACCTGTATTTTTAGAGTATTCATCTTCAAACTGATCTTCAAATCCTGTGCTTGTTCAGAGTTTAACAGAGAAGCTTATTCAGTGAAAAGAGCAGTGATGGCACAAGGCTTCCTTAAAAGACAGCTTGCCTACAGTGCTGAATAAATCTCTGTAGTGCTCTAATACTCTAGTTCTCTAGTGCTCTAATGAAATTAGGCATGTCCAGCTATCAGGTAGTGCAGAAATGTTATATATAAACAAATCAGTAAATATTCACTGTTTATACAAGCTGACAACAAGGCCCCAAATCTGAACTGGCTGTGCACCCTAAAACTGTTCTGCAATGCTGAGCTATTCTGTGGGGGTTGTGCAGGGATCCTTTGCAAGGCAAACTGACATGAAGTGTTTTCTACATTTGAAAAAAAAAAAAAACCCTAATGTAAATGAGATTTTCAGAAAGGGTTCAGAGGAGGGCAAACAAGATGATCCAGGGTCTGGAAACTAAGAGGCTGAGAGAGCTGGGCATGTTTACCCTCTAGAAGAGAAGACTACAAGGGGATATAATAGCACTCTACAAGTACCTCAAAGGCTGCTACAAAGAGGAAGGAAAAGACCTCTTACCACTGCAGAGCACAAAGGATTCAGGCTAGACACTGGAAAAAGCTTCCTGTCAGGGCAATATGCCAATGGAACCAATTGCGAAGAAAGGTTGTGGGCTCTCCTACATTGGAGTCATTAAAGGAGAAACTGAACAGTCTATCTGAGTGGGATGGTGTGACGTGGTGTCCTGCACCAACAGGATGTTGGACCCAGTATTTATTTTTATTATTTATTAAAACATTTCTTTGCCGCCCCATTCGCCGAAGCCTCGGGGCGGCTCACAACATAAAGTTAAAATACAAAAAAAAAAGAAAAAAAAGTAGCCTTCTTGGCCCCTTCTCACCCTACCATTCTATGAATCTAGTTATTACATTTCTGTACCATCCAATAGCCAACATTCTCTGGGTAGTTCAGAAAAATCAAAATCCTAGGATACAGCATGACCAAACATAATATAAGACCTTTAGAAATTTAAAAAATTTAAAACCACAGAGAGGCAAGATGTGTGCCCACTCCCCATATAGAAGGATGATGGGTCAAAGCTTCTGGGGGATCACAAGTCGATCAACCCTGCTCTAAAGAAAACTATTCTAAACATCTTGTGTCTATCTGTGAAGACATGATTGTTTGGCAGCTGCTTCACATAAAAATCTGTAAGAGTTATAAACCTTTAAATATTTTCCTTGCTTGAATAATTCTCAGGAACGTGCAATAAGCCAATGGATGTAATATTTCTTCTGGATGGAACCACAAATGTTAATGAATTGCAATTTGAGGAAATGAAGCAGTTTGTGAAAGCATTTATTGAGCACACTGATGTAGGTGAGTACCACATATTCACTCATTTTAGAGGTTTGGGTCCACTTCATTCTGTTCATGAGGGAGCCTTGATTCTGATTGTTCAAAACACTGAAGCAGTGTGGGTTTAAACAAGAAATAATCAGTATTCTAAAGCAAGGTAACCCAATTCTCAATCTTCTAAAAAATGAGAGACCTAAGAAATATATATTAAAGAATATATCTGGAATTCTGAGGTTACTTGGTTCATAGAGACTCAGTTCACAAATAACAGTGGCAAAGCATGACTTAATTAACAAATAATTTGTGGAGTTTCTGTACCACCACCATTCTGAATATGAAACTTCTGAATGGCCTGACTTGTGAACATGGACGCCATAAGTGGGATTGCATAACATGCCAATCTGTTGTGGGTGATAATCCATCATGGATGGGGAGAGGTGCTTTTGATGGAAATGCAAAGGCAGAGCAGTTGTGAGAACTGCAGCAAATACGAGCAAATTTATTTATTTATGTATTTATTTATTTAAAACATTTCTATGCCGCCCCCATTGCAACAAAGCCCCGGGGCAGTTCACAAATAGCATGACTGCCTCCAAGGTCTCTATTTCAGACAGAATGACATATTCCTCTGATGCCGGAGAACAAAGAAAAATGTCAGGTGAACATATTGAAGGAAAGTGGAGAAGCCTGGGCAGGGGAGAGTGTAACAGCCTGTCAGAGCAAGGCAGGAGTTGATGCATCTGTTGCTGAGAATAGAAGCTAGATGGCTGCAGCAGCTCCTGAAGCTGCCACTCATCCAGGAGCTTCTGTTGTGACTGCAAAGAGGAGCATTAAGGTCACGATATTGGGTTAGGACATAGAAACAGAGCGAGTCAGAAGGGGCCTCCCAGGTCATCTGACCCTTGGCTCCAGCTGGCTCCGCTTACAACATGCCCACCATGTGCATGTCTAGCTTATCTTTGAACACCCTCACCGATAAGGCTTCAAGCACCACCCAAGGAAACCATTCCATATCCTCGGGGTCCTAACTGTCAGGAAGTGCTTCCCGGCATCTAAAAGGAACCTTAGTTCACTGCGTTTTGCTCCATTGAAGCGTGTCCGGCCTTCCTCTGCAGGGGAGAACAGGTCTCTACCCACCTCCGTGTGACACCCCTCACATACAGATCCCCTCTGAGTCTGCTCTTCTCCATGCTGAAGAGACCCAGTTCCCTCAGTCTCACCTGATGCGGCACCAACCTTTGGCCCTACGCTGCACTAACTCTAACCTGGCTATATCCTTCCTGTAATGAGGGGCCCAAACCTGAATACAATACTTCAGTTGTGGGTGCACCAGAGTCATATAGAGTGGTAGTAACACCTTTCTCAATCTAGAAGCCACACTTCTGGCTACGCAAACAAGGGTGGCGTTCGCCCTCTTAACCACCCCATCACAGTCCTGATTCAGTCAACCAGGACCTCGAGGTCCCTTTCGCAAGTGCTGCTCTCCAGCCACTTGTCCTCTAAGCTGTACTTATGACAGCTATTCCTATGCCCCAAGTGCAAGACCTTGCACTTATCCACATTGAACACCATCCTGTTGTCTCCTGCCCACTTCCATAGCCTGTCCAGATCCTTTTGGATCTGGAGTACCTGCTCCTCAGTTGTGGTCACTGTCCCGGTTTTAGTATTGTCTGCGAATTTGATCAGCAGACTGTTCACCCCTTCTTCCATGTCGTTAATGAAAAGATTAAACAGAGCCCTGGGGGACCCTGCTTGTCACTGGCCACCATCCCGATGATTCCCCACTGAGGGTTACCCTCTGGTTTCAGTCAGTCAACCATGCCCTAATCCATCGGACAGAGCATTGCTAATAAGGTGGGGAAACTTCTCAGTTTCTCAACCAGGACATCATGGGGCACTTTGTCAAAGGCCTTGCTGAAATCCAGGTAAACCACATCCACTGCATCCCCTCCATCTAGCCACCTCGAAACCTTGTCGTAGACTTCCACAAGGTTTGTCTGGCAGGACCTGTTTTTGCGGAAGCCGTGTTGTGTGGCTGCCAGCCTCCATTCTCTATCTAGTGTCACTAGATCTCCCTCTATTATGAGCCTTTCCATTGTCTTTCCTACAATGGACGTAAGGCTAACCAGTCTATAATTCCCCATGTCCTTCCTACTACCCTATTTGAACATTGGGGCCACTGACGCCACCCTCCAGTCCTCTGGAACTTCACCCATTCTCCACGAGGCCTCAAAAATGGAGGCCAGCGGGCGTGAAAGAACCCCTGCCAACTCTTGAACTACTCTTGGGTGTAACCCATCAGGGCCTGGTGCCTTTGTAATGTCCAATGCCCTAAGGAGCCCCTCGACTTCAAGGGGGGGGTGACTCTAATCTGTGCCCCTAAGTCCCCGGCCTCATCTAATCTCCCATGCGGATCTCCCCCGTCCTGCTTTGGGGAGAACACAGAGGCAAAATAGTGATCTGTGTCTGTTCCCTCGTATCAGTCACTGGATCTCCTTCCTCCTTATTTGTGGTCCCACTACTTGTCACCTCTTCCTCTTCCTATTTATACGCGGAAAGAAACCCTTTTTGTTGATATTCTTGGCAAGTCTCAGCTCGTAATCAGCCTTAGCCTTGCGAAGGATCCTTCTGCAACGGGCTTCCTCCTCCCAATATACCCTTTTGTCTATTTTGTCCAGTACCCATTTGCTATGGAGGTTCCACTTGCATGTAATCCTTCTAACCACCTCCTTTGGCATCCATGGCGATGCTCTCCTCTGCCTCCCCACCTTATTAATTAGAGGTATCGTCAAACCCTGCTGCACATACCCATTCCCCTGGTCTCAAAGCAAAGGATGGAGTGATCACTCGCTTCCAGAGCTCCCCTAATCTGTACCTCAAGTATCAGCTCCAGGGTCATCCAGGGTCTCAAGCTGACCTAGAGGGCGATAACCTACCCCAACTGTCAGGTCCCTTTCCCTGTCAAAATCCCTAAATTTCACTCAGACTGCCTCTACCAAATCCCCATCTGTGCTGCATTCTATCTCACTGCATCCTATCCCTTCCCTGACATATAAAGTCCCCATCCCTCTTTTCCTTCCTGTCCTTTCTAAACAGGTGATACCCCTCTATATTTACATTCCAGTCTTGCCTTTCATCCCACCAAGTTTCCTCCTATTCCCAGGAGAGCTTCAAGCTCTTCCTGCTTATTTATTTATATTGTGATTTATAGCCTACCTTTTTTCTACAAAGGGCTCAAGGCAGCTTACATCATCTCTCCTCCTCCATCTTATCCCCACAAAAACAACCCTGTGAGGTAGGTTGGGCTGAGAGTCTGTGACTGGCCCAAAGTCACCCAGTTGGCTCCATGGCTGAGCGGGGACTAGAACCCAGATCCTCTGAGTCCAATCCCATGCTCTTAATCACTACACTACACTTATTACCCATGCTTCTAGCATTAGTGTACATGCACCTCAACTCCTTCCCACCACTTTCTTTGGAGTCCCCAGCCTCCTCCTTCCTCCCATCTTCCCTGATATCTGGCCTCTCTTTGTAGGAGTCCTGTCAGTCCCTGTAGTACCTCTAAAACCCTGGTCCCAGTGCAAACAAGTTTCTGGGGGGTCTGAACCCACTTCCTCCCCGGCCCCCTGGCTCAGTTTAAAGTCTTCCGGACAAAGCTTGCTTGAGCATTTACAAAGGACTTTTCCCCCATCCTTGTGAGGTGCAACCCATCCCTTGCCAGAAGTCCATTGGCAAGAAACCGGGTGCCGTGGTCAAGGAACCCGAAGTGTTCCTTCTGGCACTACACCCTAAGCCAGTTGTTTACCTCGGTGACCCTCCTATCTCTGACTGGCCCAAATCCCCGGACTGGTAAGACAGCTGAGAAGGCCACTTGGGCCTTTAGGTCCCTGAGTTTCTTCCCCAAGGCCTTGAAGTCCCTGACGATCCTGACCATACCCTGCCTGGCTATGTCATTTGTCCCCACATTGATCACCAGAAACAGCAGGTGACCCATTTAGCAAACAAGATTCTCCACTCCATCCTTCACATGCCAGATGCATGCACCCAGCTGGCAACAGACCTCCTTCACCTCAAGGTCAGGGCGGCACACCGCCGCCTCCGTACCCCTCAGCAGCAAGTCCCCGACGATGATCACCCGCTGCTCTCTCTACCCAGTGGTGAAAGGCAGCCATGCCCTGGCCCTTGCCTCTCCTGCAGTGGCCCCCTTGCCACCTGTGGTCCCAGGCTGGGGGTTCTGCTGGTCCCCCAAGGCCTCATCAGCCCCAGCCTCCCCAAGTGGAGAGAACCTGTTTCCCAGCTCCAGATCTGCGCCAGGAGAAAGAGGAGGCTGTGCTGGCCTCCTCCTCCTGTGGATGGTATGCCTCCATGTGTCCCCAGCTGTTCCTCCTGGGGCCCCTCCCTCAACCCTCTGTCTGGAGGGGAACTGCTCCCAGGGGGCCAAGAGAGCTCTCTCAGCCGTCAGGCACCTCACCTCCTCCTCCAGGAGGGTCACCAGCTTGCACCAAGGGCAAGTGTATCTCTGCCTCTCCTGGGGGAGAAGGACGAACATGTCGCAGCTGTCACAGTGGACAGCAACACCCGTGACTCCCACCAAGGTCATCTCCTGGTCTGCTATTGGGAACCCTTCAGAGACCCTACCGTGGTCTCCTGCCTTGTCTCTCCTGCAGTATTCCTTACTTGCCCAGTTCTCCCAGACAAAAATCCACACACACACACAAGGATAAAATAAAAATTTAAAATGGAGGAAAAAAACAAAACCAAAACCAAAAACAACAACAACAACAACAACAAAACCCTGCCCCCAGGGAAGGGAGTTCCTGGGCAGCCTGGGCCACAGCTAAGGTCCGCAGACAAGGGACAACGCCTTATAAGCCTCTCAAGCTGGTGGCCTCACCCCCCCTGCTTCCTCCTGGCCCCTCTACCTTCTCTGGCCCCGCCTCCCTTCCTCTCTGCTGCTCCTGTCCCTCTGCTCCTCTGCCCAGCTCCTACCTTGTCTTCACCAGTCCCCAAGCCACCCTCACCACTCTCCTACCCTCTGCCGCTCTGCCAAGAGGCAAGAGTCAAAAGGACATCACAAGAAACTGGTGTGTGGAAATCACATAACAGTGCTATCTCTCTCTGTGGATTCTAGAAACCAAATGTACCATGTTGAAATACCACAAAAGGATTTGGACAACACAACAAACATACAAGGGTAAAATAATCAATGTGTCATGCAAACTCATCCATAGTGCCAGACTTTGTATGTCATGAATAACTCTGATAAAGCTGTTAACAAAGAAACATAGAAACAGAGTGAGTCAGAAGAGTCTCCCGGGCCATCTAGTCTGACCTCCGGCACCAGCCGGCTCCGCTCACGACATGCCCACCATGTGCATGTCCAGCCTATTCTTGAACACCCGTACTGATGGGGCCTCAACAACCTCTCGTGGTAGCCCATTCCACACCCTCGGGGTCCTAACTGTCAGGAAATGCTTCCTGGCATCCAAATGGAACCAAATGGAATCAGTAGACTGTTCACCCCTTTGATCAGTAGACTGTTCTGTTAAGAAGCTACGTATTCAGAATAGAATGCTTTATGCACTGCAACCATTTGTGGATCAATTTACCTATGATTTACTACTGTGACATTCAAATTAGGCCTGAGCCAATAAGGCTGTGACAATTTTGTAGGAAAAAAAAAGACACTCTGGTTACTGCTCAATAAACAAAGCAATGTTCAAGCAATGAATGCATGAATGTGCATGTAGGTAAGATATAAGGAGACAACAAGGGATTAAAAAAGGATTTGTGGGGCATATTACTAATAATATTGAGACCATCAGTTTAAAAAAATACATCAAAAGTAGGATACAGGGTATGGGGGCTGTTGGTCCTCTGGGCAAAAAGAGAATTAAAGGATTAATAACCAAGACTAAGAAGATTATGAGAAGCTAAATGAACTATTTGAATCTTTTTTCACATCAGAAAATGGAGGGCAAATACATGTGTCTGAATGGATAGTCTCATACAAGTGGAACTGATACAACATTGGAAAAGAGAATTGAAGTTGTAGATCTTATTAACAATTTGTAAAGAAACAAATCAGATTGTCTAGACAGTGTGCACCCAAAAGTTTTTAAAGAACCCATATGTGAAATGTTCATCTTCCAACAAAATATTAAAAATTTCCCTAAGGTCAGCTTCTGTACCTGAGATAACATAATGCCCTAAAAAGCAGGAGGGGTGTCTGGGGAGATTGGAAAATTACAGGCTAGTTAATTTAATATCTGGTCAGCATAAATTGGTGAAAAGCTTCAGCAAAAACAAATTAGAAGGATAAGCCTTGCCAAAGAAGAATCAGTATGGATTCTCCAAAGTCCTTTTGTTTATCTCAGCTTTTGATAAAATCCCACAGCAAGCTCCTAAGTAAATTTAACAGTCAAGCAATAATTAAGGAGTTACTTTTATTTATTTATATTTATTTGTTATTTTTTCCTGCCAGAATGTCTCCCACAGTAGCTTACAAATTGCCTGCAAACTTGCAGTCGAAAGAATATGACCTAGAATGAAAAGGGATTGAGAGGGAGGAAGAAAAAGTAAATTCAAGCACTAGATACTTATTTGCACAGTTGAGCAGGACATGAATGCAGTGGAAGGAAGATTGTTCCTTTTTCTTCTTCCTTCTATTGCCTCAGCAGTGACAGTTGTTAGCAGAAGGGAAGGAACAATTATAGTCTATAATCTATAATTGGATAGATAATTGAAATTGTCAGCTTCAGTGTATAGCTGCTGTGGTTAGGGCAGATTCCATGTTGATGAGTATTAGTTAAGGAATTAAAAGTAAACTGTCAATATCACAGTGCTTTTACACAAATCAGTGTGTCAACCACACTTGAAGTATCATGTACAATACTGTGTACAGTTACCACTCTCTAAAAAGGATTTTAGTACTGAAAAAGTACAGTAAGAGGCAGCCAAAATAATAAGGGAATGGAGAGTTATGAAAAGAAGACATCATTTCTTCAACACCCCGCCCCATGAATGTGACTTAGTGATGGTTCCCTTATCTAAAAGCATCACTTGAATTTTGCCACCATCATTGCTGAAGTCTGACCACATTAACCATTTTATTCCTTTAAAAATCTTGTTGTTTCCCTCCTAGGCCCTACTACAACTCAACTAGCAGTGCTTCAGTATGGAAAAGTGAGTACTTTGGAAATTTCATGGAATGTACCCCAACAGAAAGCATATCTTTTGTCTGCAGTGAACTCAATTCATCAAAGAGAGAAAGGTCCCAGCAAACTAGGTATGCGATTGCTTCTTCTGTGGTGAGGGGGCAGGGAGAAATTTATGCAGTTCAGTTACAAGATTTTGTATTGTGCTGACTATATGTGTATTTGCATCCTTTTCCTTCCTCTTCCATAAGATAATACGATGTAGATGTGAACTAACAGAAATTAAAAAAAAATACAATCCAAAGTTCATCTAACTGCTTTTAGAAAGCTCAAGGCCACAAACAGTATTGCTTAGACTGCAGCGCAGTCCAAAGTTCCTGTGCTGGTGGCCACTGAGTATTGGTGTAACATTGGCATCCAATCCACTTCTTCGCAGAACATTTGACAGCAAAATTGCAGTACTAAACAGTATAGAATGTGGAAATGGTGACTCCCCCAGTTTGAGCTTCAGCAGTGAGACTGGTAGAAAACTGTCCAAACTTTCTGCTCAGCAGTAGTCATGACAGAATCTAGAAGGAAGAAATAAGCAGGACTAGAACCCACAGAGTAGCATTTCTAATATTTCCTCATAGTGGCACAAGATCATAGGACTTTTGCTACCTTCCTAGGTTGAGTGTAGGTATATTCTTAAAGCTCATCCAAGCTACCTTTCACAAAAGAATTTTCACTATCAGTACATTTTATCCTGTCCTGCTGCCTGAATGCATCCATTTCAGGCCTATGTGATGCTTCTGTAAAACAACTGACTTTATAGCAGAGTTGCAAAAAGTTCCTATCAGACTCCTCTGGGCCAGTGATTTTTCAATCTTTCCACAGTTGGGGACCAGCAAAAACAGGAAAACTGCCTTGGGGGCCACTGAGGCAGAAACAAAATGCACCATACACATAATACAGTATTCTGTGTATTAGTTTCCAAAACAATACCAAAACAAATCAAAACAAAATCTCCAAAATGACTAGAAACCAAGGAACAAAAAAATGCAAAAAAACAACCAAAAAAAAAAACCAAAATAACAAAATTGGTGCAGTGTGGCTCCCACTGAGTCATCTCTCCTCTTCCTGTCCCCATGGCAGCACTGATGTACCCCCCACGAACAGGATGCCAACCGAGGAAGAGGTAGTGGAGCACAATCAGTTTCCCTGCCAGTCTGTGAGAAGCAGGATGTGGCCCCCTTTCAGAGCAGCAGGAAATCTCTTGCAGACCAGTGCTGGTCAGTGGACTGTGGCTGAAAACCACTACTCAAGGCAACCCACCTATGAAACAGTGTCACAACTAAGCACTTGTATTTTAGGGATTCTTTGTGGACTAGACAGAAAAAAACTAGTCCAAAACTAGTTTTGGATCCAAAATTGGCTGCTAAATTGGGCACAGAGTGCTCATCAATGGCACTTTCTCAAATTAGATGGCGATAACTAGTGGGGTGCCACAGGGTTCAGTCCTGGGCCCAGTGCTCTTCAACATCTTTATTAATGATTTAGATGAGGAGGTACAGGGAAAGATAATCATATTTGCAGATGATACAAAATTGAGTGGAATAGCAAGCACCGTAGAGGACAGAATGAAGATCCAGGGCAATCTTGATAAACTTGAATGCTGGGCTAAAAGCAACAAAAAGATTCAGTAAGAAGAAATGCCAAGTCCTCCACATACAAAAAAGAAACCAAATGCTTCAATACAAGATGCATTTTTTCAGCTCAAAAGAACTGAAAAAAAGACCTTGCAGTAATTGTGGACAATAGGATAAATGACTAAATATGAGCCAACAATGTAATGCAGCTGCCAAAAGGGCAAATGCTATTTTGGGATGCATTAATAGAAGTATAACCTCCAAATCACGAGAAGTAATAGTTCCCCTATACTCTCTAGTCAGACCTTTCTGGAATATTGTGTTCAGTTCTGGGCACCAAGCTTTAAGAAAGATGCAGAAAAATTAGGAAACGGTCCAGAGGTGGGCAGCAAAAATGATCCAGGGTTTGGAAACATTTCCCTGTGAGGAGAGCCTGGAGAACTGGGCATGTTCAGCCTTGAGAAAAGAAGACTGAGGGAAGTCATGATATCTTATAAGTACCTCAGAGACTGTCACAAAGAAGAAAGTCAAGATCTCTTCTTGCTGATACCAGAATACACAGGACACAGAATGATCAAATCAAGTTGTGACAACCCAGATTCAGGCTTGATATCACAAAAACTTTCCTCACTGTCAGAGCTACACAAGACAGCAAGTAGTTGCCTAGACAGGTCATGGGCTGTCCCACACTGGAGACATTCATTAAGAAACTGGACAGCCATCTAAGTGGGATGGTGTAAATTGGTGTCCTGCAACAGCAGGGGGTTGGACCTGATGGCCTTCATGGCCTCTTCCAACTCTACTATTCTATGATTCATTAAAAATTCCATCTGTGGAAGAAGAATTTTACTTATTCTGAATTATTAATTAGTTCCATTATTGTGAGAGCCCTGCTATTTCCTTAGATTTTCGCCGAACCATGTCCCCCATCATCTTATAAAAATAGAAACTAAGAGAACTATCACAAAATATACTAGGGCTGGGCTCTTCGGCCCTCTTTAATTTGAGTCCTGAGTGGAAGGCCCAAGAAAAGTCCCAGCAAACCATTTAAGCTTATACCATTTATGGATTTTCTTAAATATTATTAGTTTGGGACCCAAACTACCCTATGTACAAGCAGGAAGCACTTTCATTCATCTTGCTTTCTGACAGCAGCTGAAAGTGTCAAATTTAATTGCATTCCACCCAACCCCCACCAGGAGCAGCAGGGAAGGGCAGATACTAAAGTGAGAGGAGGATTGGTCAAGTCCCTGTGCATGTGTAGAACACCATGCATGGCTTGCTGGATACCACCCATAATATTTTTGGACTGGAAAATACAGTGTATCTGGCAGCAGCCTAGTATCAAGGCCCCACAGGAACAAAGGAGTATCCAGGTTTTTGGATCCTTGGCCTACTTTTTAGTATAGAGAGTTTATTACTGTGTAAAAATGAGAAATGAAACCTGACTTCTATAGTTCACTGGAGGATTGGCCATGATTGTTTTTTCAGCCTGGAGAAATAATAATAATAATGATAAACAAACAGATGGTTGAGAAGACCCTGACAGGTTCTTTGTAAATGCAATAATCTCCTTCATGTGGATAAATTAATTAATCCTTCTATATAATGCATGCAGCAAGGGATGACAGAATGCCACACAAGGCTGCCTTATGCTGGGTCAGACCACTGGGTCCATCTGCCAGGTCTGAGTAGGTTGGTTCACCAGGATTTCTGGTGGAGCACTTTTCTGGCCTGTGAACTGGGCCTTTTGGCTGGAGATGCCAGGAATTCCATCGTAGCTCTTCAGCATGCAACAGACATTGACTATGAGTATCAATCCCAAACCTGGAGGACACATGATGGCCCCAAAGTAAGGAAGTGGTGAGGAAGTTATGCATGATTGTTGAGAAAAATTTAATTGACAATTGGAAACCACTGAGGGCTGATACAGAAGTAAAATTAGCTGTTGCTAAACTAAGGATAAGGGATTTGGAATGGGATGCAGAATCCTGGGCTCCCTCCAGTCCCTTGCCTCTCATGTAAATTCTACCTTCTCATCTCTCTCTTGGTACAGTATTAGGTCTGTCTTTACTCAGGGACACTCAAAAATAGCTTTTGGAGCCCAACTATTTTATAGTACTGATGAATCTTATCTGAATTTTTATTGATGATGCTATGCTAGGACTCACCAAATGGTTTTTCTGACTAGCTTCTATCAACTGGATTGTATTTCTTTATGCATTAATTATACATTGGTGCCTTGGCTCACGAATGCCTTGGTTCACAACCAAATTGGGTCACAAACAAAAATTTCATGAAAATTTTGACTTAGGTCACCAACTCCGCATTGGGTGGCAACCAAGATCACGGCCATCTCCCCACGCCCCCAAGTGGGGAGATGGCCACAATCGCAATTGTGTTTGTACAGGGAAGCTGTGCGTGATCACGGGTGCACTCCTGCAGGAAAGATGGGTGGAATCTCAGCCATCTCCCCCCCCCCCACCGCCAACCAGCATGATCGCGGCCATCTCCCCATCCCCCCACCCCAAGTGGGGAGATGGCCATGATCACAGTTGCGTTCGTGCAGGAAAGATATAGAGGAGCTGATGACAGAAGAACTTGCTGAACTCGAGTGAGCAGCAGAAGGCACTTGCTGAGGAGGATTCCCCTGAGGAGGACAGGGAGGAGGTTAGCAGTGATGTGATACAATCCATTATGAAAAAATGGAATGAGTGCCAGGATTTCTTTGAGAAGCACCACCCCAACATAACTGTAACAAACAGTGTTGAAACTTATGAACGATAACGTGGTCTCTCATTTCCGGAGGGTTATGCAGCCTAGGGAAAACAAGTGACTATAGACAGATTTTTCACCAAAATTGACACTACAGCTAAGAGACAAAGAAGAGAGGGAACCCCTCTTCCCAATGTCCTTACAGAGAGGGACTCTCCCTCAAAACAATACCCACCCCCACCTAGGTTAGTGTTCTCCGCTGTACTGTACAGTACTTTGTTTCAAATTTTTCTGATTAAAAAAAATAGCTACAGAATGGATTAACCTTATTTACATCGAATCTTATGGGGAAATTCGACTTGGTCACAACCAACTTGAGTCACAACCAGAGTGGTGGAATGGATTAAGTTCGTGAGCCAAGGTACCACTGTATTTATAGCCCACCCTTGTTCCTTCCAAGAAATTCAAAGTAGCTTTCATAATTCTTTCCCCTCAATCTTATCCTCACAACACCAGCCCTCTGAGGTAGGTTGGGCTGACAGTTTGTGACTGGCCCAAAGTCACCCACTGAGCTCCAATGAGGGGGACTAGAACTCAGATCTCTTGAGTGCCAGCCCTGCATTCTTAAGCATAACATCACAATGGCTCTCTTAATCTCACAGTAAAGGGGAATACATTTTCCCTTTCACAATCCTTAAAGGGAACTTTGGTTTAAGCTTTTCAATATACAAACTTTTCAATTTTAACTGGTTTATTAATTTTAATTGCATACTGATAGGCTGGACATG